CCTCTGGAATTACAATTCCCAATTTTCCCACCCCGTGATCCCAAATTTTGGCCGCTCCGAGATAATTTTTTCCCGTTTTTCCCTAAAAATTCCCGTTTTTTGCAGGTGGCCCGGATGCTCTACGGTTTCCTGATCCAAACCAACAATTCCTGGTTCCAATCCATCATCAAAAGCGACCTCAAGGGGATCCTGGGTGAGGGAAAATCCAGGAAAAAATGGGAATTGGGGGAAAAACGGGAATTGGGAAGAACAGGAATGGGGGAATTTTGGGGCCGGATTTTTCCATTTCCCATTTTTCCCCATTTTTTTCCCATTTTTTCCATTTTTTTCCCATTTTTCCCCATTCCAAGCGGTGCCCCCCAGCACTGCGTGGCCATGTCAGGTTTTCAGGATGGATTTTCCCATTCCCAATCACATTTTTTTTCCCACTTTTTCCCATTTTTATGATAAATTTCCCATTTTTTGATAAATTTCCCATTTTTTGGATAATTTTTCCAGGTGGAGCCCCCCAGCACTACGTGGCCGTGTCAGGTTTTCAGGATGGATTTTCCCATATTCAGGATGGATTTTCTCATTTCCAGTCCCATTTTTTTCCCGTTTTTTCCCATTTTTTGATAAATTTCCCATTTTTTGGATAATTTTCCCAGGTGGAACCCCCCAGCACTACGTGGCCGTGTCAGGTTTTCAGGATGGATTTTCCCATTCCCAATCCCATTTTTATGATAATTTTCCCATTTTTTTGATAACTTTTCCCATTTTTTGATAATTTTTCCCATTTTTCCCTATCCCCAGGTGGAACTCCCCAGCACTACGTGGCCGTGTCAGGTTTTCAGGGCAGATTTTGCTGTTTTCAGGACGGATTTTCCCATATTCAGGATGGATTTTCTCATTTCCAATCACATTTTTTTGATAATTTTTCCCATTTTTTGATATTTTTTCCCATTCCCAGGTGGAGCTCCCCAGCACTACGTGGCCGTGTCCAGCCCGGTGAACTCGACGCTGCTGCTCCAGGCTGTCCTGGCCAACGTCACGGGGCTGAGGGTGAACCTGAGCCGGGAGCTGTGCCAGGAGCCCGAGAGAGCGCCCGGAGCCCAGCCACAGGTGGGGAAAACATGGGGAAACATCGGGAAAAAGATGGGAAAATATCGGGGAAACATCGGGAAAACATCGGGGAAAAAATGGAAAAATATCGGGAAAATGATGGGAAAATATCGGGGAAAAAAATGGGAAAACAATGGGAAAATATTGGGGAAATAACGGGAAAAAATGGGAAAACATCGGGAAAAAAATGGGAAAATAACAGGGAAAGAAGGGGAAAATAATGGGGAAACAATGGGAAAACACTGGGAAAACAACGGGAAAATATCGGGGAAAAAAATGGGAAAACATCGGGGAAGAAATGGGAAAACATCGGGAAAAGAACGGGAAAATAACCAGAAAATAATGGGGAAAGGACGGGGAAACAAGTGGAAAAAAAAAGTGAAAACAATGGGGAAATAATGGGAAAACAACGTGGAAACAACGGGAAAACACCGGGGAAATAACAGGAAAATAACGGGGAAATAACAGGAAAATAATGGGAAAACGTCGGGAAAAAAATGGGAAAACGTCGGGAAAAAAATGGGAAAACAACAGGAAAACAACTGGAAAATAACGGGAAAACAATGGGAAAAGGGGATTTGATCGTGGGATTGGAGGTGGGGGTGGGAATGGGAATGGGAATGGGAATGGGAATGGGGTGGGAATAGGAATGGGAATGGGATGGGAGTGGGGCAGGAGTGGGGCAGGAATGGGATCCCAAATTCCCAGCTCTAATTCCCATTTTCCCAGCTGTATGAATCTTCCTGGGTCCAGGGCTCTCTGGATCCCAACTCCACGTCCCGAGTTCCGTTCTGTGTCCGTTCCGGTGCCCACGTTTTCATGTCTACAATTCCCATTTTCCCGTTGATAATTCCCGTTTTTCGCTCTATAATTCCCATTTTCCCATTATTTATTCCCATTTTCCCAGCTCTATGAATACTCGTGGGTGCAGGGTCCCCTGGATCCCAACTCCACATCCCGAGCCCCGTTCTGTGTCCGTTCCGGTGCCCGCCTGGGACAATTCCCATTTTCATGTCTATAATTCCCATTTTCCCGTTGATAATTCCCATTTTTTGGTCTATAATTCCCAATTTTTCTTGAATTATTCCCATTTTCCCAGCTCTATGAATACTCGTGGGTGCAGGGTCCCCTGGATCCCAACTCCACGTCCCGTGTCCCGTTCTGTGTCCGTTCCGGTGCCCGCCTGGGACAATTCCCATTTTTCGCTCTATAATTCCCAATTTTTCATTATTTATTCCCATTTTCCCATAGATTTTTCCCATTTTTTCACTGTTTATTCCCATTTTTCCAGCTCTATGAATACTCCTGGGTGCAGGGTCCCCTGGATCCCAATTCCACATCCCGTGTCCCGTTCTGTGTCCGTTCCGGGGCCCGTCTGGGACAATTCCCATTTTTGTGTCTATAATTCCCATTTTCCCATAGATTTTTCCCGTTTTTTCACTGTTTATTCCCATTTTCCCAGCTCTATGAATACTCCTGGGTGCAGGGTCCCCTGGATCCCAACTCCACGTCCCGAGTCCCGTTCTGTGTCCGCTCCGGTGCCCGTCTGGGACAATTCCCATTTTCCCATAGATTTTTCCCGTTTTTTCACTGTTTATTCCCATTTTCCCAGCTCTATGAATATTCCTGGGTGCAGGGTCCCCTGGATCCCAACTCCACGCTCCGAGCCCCGTTCTGTGTCCGTTCCGGGGCCCGTCTGGCCAAGGCGCTGTCCCCGGCGTTTGAGCTGCGCCAGTGGGGATCCCGCGAGTTTTCCACGTGGACGGAGAGCCGATGGAAAGACATCAGAGCCAGGATATTCCTGGTGGCCAGTCCCCAACTGGAGGTGAGAAACTGGGATAGACTGGGATAGACTGGGAATGGGAATGGGATATGGGATATGGGATATGGGATATTGGATATGGGATATTGGATATGGGATATGGGAATGGACAGAGAGCCGATGGAAAGACAT